ATCCCCAATTAAACCAATCACAGGATTCCATGGCAGGACAGCTGAAGGCCCCAGGGTGGGGCAGTCAAAGCAGGTCCCGAGATGCCTCTAGACCCGTCCCTGTGGCACAGAGCTCTGCTACAGCCAAGCAACCTCCACTGACGTCAACCCCGCAGCCAGACCCCATGAGAGAATGGCCACAGATGGGGAAATCAGCTTCGTCCATGAGCGTCAGATGCATCCAGCAGGGAGCCAAGGGCCTGGCCTCCACTCAGAACTTGGGAAAATGCTGCCAAGACCATTGGGTTTGGTGGGGTTTTAAAGTCATGGGGGGGGGTGCTGCTGGCAGGGCCAACGCTCTCATCCTTGGTTTGGTTTGTGTGTGTTTGGTTCCTGGGCCCGCAGGTGGCCAGGCCAGTGGCAGCAGGCCACTCTCTCAGTTCTGTACGGCAAGAAGCAGCTGGCAGATGCGGGGCGTAGCAGCCTGGGAGCCCCAGCGCGTGGCAGCGTCTGAGGCGAGAGTTTCTGCAGACAGCAGACATTGCGACCGAACACAATTTTTCACGAACCACCTGATTTTTCCATAAAACCGTGGAGGGAAAATTCTCCACCAGCCCTAACTGGAAGGCTCCCAGTGACCTTCCCTCCTGGCAGCAGGGAGGGGATTCCCATGGGACAAAACAGGTGTAATGCAGCCACTGACTCCCATCCCTCCATGCCCAATGCTGCGGCCAGGCAGCACATCTGGCTCCACTTGTTTCCAAGGGGGCTGATTAGACTCATTTGTCACTCGCCGCCAGCCGGGGCTCCGGAAAAGGAGCCTCTCCCCGAGACAGGAGCCTCCAAGCGGGAGGGTCGGCCAGCTGGAGGTTCTGGTGGTGGGCTGCAGATCCTTGTTCTTTCTACACAGCAGCACAAATCCAGCTACGGCATGGTCGCGAGGGACACCTGCTTGCTGGCGTAAGAGAGCCACGCCTCAGAGCAGCTACTGGGAGCAGGCATCTGCATAAAAACCCCAGGTGGTGTCTGGCTCCCTGCACTGGCAATATCGTGAGAACTCAAGGACCGACCTATAGAGTGGCCATCCCTTCCCGGTAGCCGGTGCCCCTGCTTGGTGGGCAGAAGACACTAACCTCTAGGGGGCCAGTCCAGCCCCTCCCCCAGCCCCACATTCACCTAAGCTCGTGACAGAAAAATGTTTATTTAACAAAAAAAAAAAAATATTACAAGAGCGACACCAAATAATAAAGTTAAGCCTCAGGGGTCAGGGAGGGGGAGGGAGGCAGAAAGTCCTTTGGGAAGGGGCCTGGACACAGTAGTCTCCCCACTAGGAGACCAGAACCCCGGCAGAGCTGGTCTTGGCTCCTGCCCCGTCGGAGCTCTCCTTGGGCGGCGGTTTCTGGTCGTCCTCCCCCATCACGCGGATGTTGTGCTTCTCCCGGAACTCATTCAGCTCCTGGCCCTTCGCCTGCAGCTGTTGGGTCAGGGTCTCGATGATTTTGTTGATCTGCAGGGTTGGAAGCAGGGAGGGAGGGAGTCAGGGCTGGGGTGCAGGGCGGGCACCAGCATGCGCCTCCCTCCACCCCCCTAGGGTGGGTCTATTGCAGGGATGGGCAAACTTTTTGGCCTGAGGGCCACATCTGGGAATAGAAATTGTATGGCGGGCCATGAATGCTCACAAAATTGGAGTTGGGGTGCGGGAGGGGGTGAGGGCTCTGGCTGGGGGTGCAGGCTCTGGGGTGGGGCTTGGGATAAGGAGTTTGGGGTATAGGAGGGTGCTCTTGGGCTGGGACTGAGGGGTTCGGAGAGTAGGAGGGGCATCAGGGCTGGGGTGCAGGTTCCGGCTGGGGGTGCAGGCTCTGGGGTGGGGCTGGGGATGAGAGGTTTGGGGTGCAGGAGGATGCTCCAGGCTGGGACTGAGGGGTTTGGAGAGAGGGAGGGGGATCAGGGCTAGGGCAGGTGTTTGGGGAGAACTCAGGGGTGCAAGCTCCGAGCAGCACTTACCGCAAGTGGCTCTCGGAAGCAGTGGCATGTCCCCTCTCCAGGTCCTATGCGGACGCACGGCCAGGCGGCTCTGCAAGCTGCCCCATCCGCAGGCACCGCCCCTGCAGCTCCCATTGGAGCACCAGAGGGGGCCATTGGAGCGCACAGGAGCTAGAGCGGGACCATGCCATGGCTTCCGGGATCCACGTGGGGCAGCCCCCCACCCAGCCCTACGGCTGGAGCGCCAGAGCAGGGCCGAGCTGTGTGGTGTGGCCCCCGACCCAGTGCCCCGGAGTGGGGCAAGCCCCAGACTCTGCTCCACAGTGAAAGCTCTCGGGCTGGCTTAAAACGGCTCTGGCCCACGGGCCATAGTTTGCCCATCTCTGGTCTATTGCAATCCCAGGCTGAACAGTGCCATCCTCTCCTCTCCATGTATGATGGCAGGGTCACTTAGCCCCAGGCCAATGTGTATGGCCAGAAACCCCTGCACCACCACCCAAGGGAGGAGATCAGGGCCACACTGGCCAGGAGTGGGACACAGCTTGGGAGCATATTGCAGCGGTTTGGTCAGTTAACGAGGGGACAGCAGCTGTGTTCACTGTGATGCCAGCAGTGCCCCCTCCCAGCTCCCTGAAGGGGAAAGGGAAGCAATCAGCACAGCCCTGCCAGAGACTAAAGATTCAAATTAGGGACTGAGAAGAGCCCAAGCACAGGAGCCCGGATGCCTGGGTTCTATTCCTGGCTCGATTACTGACTCGCTGCGACAGCCCGTCCTGGGAAAACGTGGGAACTGTAATATTTTAATGAAAAACAGACGTGACTCAGTGTCCCCACTCACACTCTGTGCTACCCCCTGGATGTGAAGGGGTTAACTGCTCCTTTGGGACAAGGGATGGCTTGGCAGGGTTTCTCTGGGACCCAGGACTGGGAGTTCCACAGGTGCTCAGCTCCCCGTGAAATCCAGGAGACACTGATCCTTTCCAGCTCCCACACAGAGCCCCATGGAGAGGGGTCCAGCACCTCCCCACTCCCAGACACGACGCCCCATCCACCCTGCACTAATCACGTCATGGCCCCTCCAGCAAGATGGAGAAGACATTCCATCACCAAGAGAAACAGGGTGCAGCCAGCACCCGTGACCACCCTATACCAGTGGGGCTCAGAGCACAGCAGCATTCCACAGTGGGCACAGTGCCCTCCCCAGATCCTGCCAGTGTCCGGCACCTGCATTACCTGCTCTTTGTTGCTCTCCAAGGCAGGGAGGACCTCCTTGACGGTGCGCTCCACCAGCACCCCGCCCACCATGCGGTAACACTTGCGGGTGGGGTCCACCTCTCGCAACGTGTCGATGACCAGGCTGTGGGAAAGGCAGATGCTGCTGAGGTCCCTCCAGACACCACAGAGAGCGTACAGCCCAGGGCTGCAGATCCACAGGGCCTGGCTACGTGGGATAGTCTCAGGCCCAGCCTACCCTATACCCAGGGCCCTGTGTTCAGAGTCACGATGGGATGGGGAGGAAGAAGGACGACTCAACTCTTTGGCTGCTGTGCAGTTCTCCAGGCTCCCTAGCTCACCAGCCTACAGCTCCCAACAACCCAAACTCCAGCTCTGCCCCCCTCGCTCCCCCGTCTGGCCCCACTGAACAGTCCAGGGAGCACACACTGGAATCCAATTAAGGATCCCCTGCAGGGAGAGCTGGTGGGCAAGAGGCGGCAGCAGCAGGCAGGTCCCCACGGGGAGCTGAAAAGGACAGCGGCCCACTCAGGGTGCCAGCTGGGACTTGGGAGACCAGAGTTCAATGCCCAACTCCACCAGAGTCCCTATGCGACCCTGGGCCTGGGCCTCAGAGATTGGGGTTCTCTGCAGGAGCAGGGGTGGGGCCCAGATGCAGAGCCACCAAGATCAGGGCCACGCAGCGTCTGGCTCGGCCCCTGTGCTGAACTGTGGGGTGCTTGGGAGAAGGGCCACGTGCTGCAGTAGCGGGGAGCCTCCAGGGCCCTGAGGGGCTCGGAGCACAGGGCTCCAGGCTGGCTGGTCAGAGGGCAGCTCAGCGTGGGGGAGGGGGGGCCCGATCCTGCCCCCACCTGTGCTCGTTCAGCTCCAGCTCCAGCTCCGCCGCCTTCGAGGCCAGGCCCCGCTGCTCCTGCCGCAGCCGGTTGAACCCGGCCACCACCTGCAGGGAGAGAGGAAGGTCAGGCGTGGGGGACAGGACCTCACTCAATATACTCCCCCTTCGGGTGCGATGGGCTCGCCCGGCACACATACACACGTCCCCCCCATCGGGTGCGATGGGCTCGCCCGACACACACACACACACGTCCCCCCCCATCGGGTGCGATGGGCTCGCCCGACACACACACACACACACGTTCCCCCCTCCATCAGGTGCGATGGGCTCGCCCGGCACACATACACACACACACACGTCCCCCCCATCGGGTGCGATGGGCCCGCCCGACACACACACACACACACACACACACACACGCCCCCCCCCAATCAGGTGCAATGGGCCCGCCCGACACACACCCACACACACACGTCCCCTCCCCCCTTCGGGTGCGATGGGCCCGCCCGGTACCTGCTCCGCCGTCAGGCCTTTGCCGGCGGATGGAGCTGTCGGCGCGGTCTTGCTCTTCCCACTGTCCGCCATCTTCCCGCCAGTTCTGCGCATGGTCCGTTCCCCCCCACTTCCGGGGTCACGACCTCCACCGGCCGGGAAAAAGGGCCCTTCGGGCGCCATATTTGTTTGGGGCACGTCCCCTAGCGACGCTCCTGGGCCGCCGTCGCCTTCCGGCTTCGCGGGCCCTTGCTCCGCTCTCCACCCCCCGCAGGCGTCCGGCGGGGCCGGTCCCTGGGAGCCAGGAGCTGCCTCGCCCGCCCCGGGCCGGAGGAGCCGAGTCGCCCCGCCCCCCGCGGCCTGCTCCATGTAACGGGCCCTGCTCGCGGCGGGGGCGGGGCGGGGCGTTACCGGCTCTGGCTCGCCCCGCGGGGCTGGGGACTGGCCAGTGGGGGCGCCGCCCTGGGAAGCGGGCTACCAGGCGATAGGGCCCCCCCTCCCCTTGGCGGCCCCCCCCCCTTGGCGGGCCGGGGCGCATCTGATCGCGCCCTTGAGTTTCTGTCCGCCCAGAGCCTGAGAGTTCGGTTCCTGGGCCTGGGTTTCCCCCTTAAAAACCTCGGCCCCGGCCCCGGCCTCGGCTTGGCGGCCCCTGGGCGAACTGCCGAGCTAGTGTAAATCCCCAGAGCCCAGCAAGTCCGAGTTGAAAGGGGAAGGGAGTCAAAGTGCTCAAAGCTCTGACTTGTGTGGACTTCAACAGCAAAGGCACGTCTTGGCTGACGGAAGCCTTCGTGCCTGAGACGGCAGCCCTGCCCTTTGATCGAGGACTGGTGAGGGCGGCAGGCCTGCCCTTTGATCGAGGACTGGTGAGGGCGGCAGGCCTGCCCTTTGATCGAGGACTGGTGAGGGCGGCAGGCCTGCCCTTTGATCGAGGACTGGTGAGGGCGGCAGGCCTGCCCTTTGATCGAGGACTGGTGAGGGCGGCAGGCCTGCCCTTTGATCGAGGACTGGTGAGGGGGGCCTGCCCTTGATCGAGGATGTGAGGGCGGCAGGCCTGCCCTTTGATCGAGGACTGGTGAGGGCGGCAGGCCTGCCCTTTGATCGAGGACTGGTGAGGGCGGCAGCCCTGCCCTTTGATCGAGGACTCTCTGCTCCCCGTGGAGTCTCACGCCCCCAAGCTCGTCTCTGGCGTAGGAGCCCTCCGGTCATGCATTAAGCAACTGCCTGGCATCTGGCATGTGTGGTTCTCGCTCCTTCTCCCTAGGAGAATAAGTGTGTTCAGGGGATGGTTTTGCTTTGGTGGGGTTTGTTCTTGTGGGTGGGGGCCGGTTGTGGGGGGTATTTTCACACGCACGTTGCTCTGTGTTTGTGTTGGAGGAGACAAGCTCAAAGAGCACTGAGCAAATATCGCTGAGCCCTCCCATAGCTCCTCCAAGCAACCCCGGGGAGGCCAGACTTGACCTTCCTGCTGTTGCTGAGATAAGCCACTGAGAGCAAGAGACTGGTTTCTTGTCTCTGGCTGCCTGAGCCCCCTTCTTGGGGCCACGTTTCTAGGATGGTCAGTCCAGGAAGCCTCTTGGGTCAGATGTTCGGGGAAAGTGACTGCAAAAGGGACATGAATCTGGATGAAGAAATATTGGTGTTTGTTGGCACAGGTATTTTGGAAAGCTTTTCAAGGAGTGTGCTAAGCTGTGCTACCGAGCACCAGGCTGGTGTGTTGTGCTAGGGCTGTTGACGAGCGCTGGGCTGGCCGGGCTGGTGTGTTGTGGCAGGGTTGTTGACGAGCGCTGGGCCGGTTTGTGTTGTGGCAGGGTTGGGGGGGGGGGGGTTTGTGTTGTGGCAGGGTTGTTGCGGGGAGTTTGTGTTGTGGCAGGGTTGTTGAGAGCGCTGGGCCGGTTTGTGTTGTGGCAGGGTTGTGTGGCAGGTGAGCGCTGGGCCGGTTTGTGTTGTGGCAGGGTTGTTGACGAGCGCTGGGCCGGTTTGTGTTGTGGCAGGGTTGTTGACGAGCGCTGGGCCGGTTTGTGTTGTGGCAGGGTTGTTCACGAGCGCTGGGCCGGTTTGTGTTGTGGCAGGGTTGTTCACAAGTCCTGGGCTGGCCAGCTGGTGTGTGGTGATCGGGTTGTTTGTGAGCACTGGTCTATTCCCATTTCCCATTATGATTATATTCTGTTGAAAAGGGAGACGCTGATCTTGTTTTAAAGCCCCCCTGCTCTCACCTCCACCCATCACCCCGGGCTGCCAGCATCAGGCCTCTGAGGAGGGGGGTTGGTCTGGGCCTCTCGCTGCAGGGGTTGAACTGAATCATTAACCCCCCTTTCTCTGCGCATCCCCCCAGGCTGAGAGCAGTGATCCAGACTGCCCTATGCCCGCTGCACTGTGCCTTTCGCCGGGTTCCTGGGAGACAGCTGCAAAGGATCCCATCCCGCACAGCCAGCCGCAGGTACAATGGGCAGGGTTGTGGGGAGTTGGGCTCCTGGGGAGGGTTGGAGGAAGCTGATGCCGGATTCTCTGAGGCCTTTGCATAGGCTTCCTGTCCAAGGCCTTCTTTGGGAGGACGCTTTATGCTCCCGTCCAGCAACATGGCCTCCCCACTGGGACCTGGGCTGGGCTGGAGCTGGGCTGAGAGCCCAGAAACTGCAGCCGTCTGCCCCTCCCCATATCAGTCTGTTCCACTCTCCTCTTGTTCCTGGCCCCCAGCTCTTCCCTGCTGTCCTGTGTCCCTTGGCAGCCTGGCATAATGGCTGCCACTGCGCTGAAGCCCCTCATCGCTGTGTGCCAGCTCACCTCCACGCCTGACAAGGAGCAGAACTTCGCCAGTTGCTCGCGGCTCATCCGGGAGGCAGCACAGCGAGGTGCCTGCGTCGTCTTCCTTCCCGAGGCCTTCGACTTCATCGGCAGCGACACGCAAGAGACCCTGAGCCTGGCCGAGAGCCTGGAGGGGGCCCAGATTCAGCGCTACGCTGGCCTGGCCAGGTACAGCTCTGCTCAACAGAAGGCAGCGGCTGGGAAATCCCTTTCCGGGCCAGGGCAGGATTGGGCCCACTCGCGCAGCCCGCCTTTGTTCAAATGGCCTGCGTGATGGGGCTCCTGCCCCATCCCTGGGGAGCTGGCCCCCGGCAGTGCTCTGCTTTCCAGCCAAACTGTGATCCCGTGTTTCGTTTCGCCCTCTTCCCACTATTCCGCCCCCACGTCCCGCCCTGTCTGTCCCTTGTCTGTCTGGAGCTTGCTCCCCTGCCCGTGTTGCTTTGAATCTTTCCCCATTGTCACCCTCGATTGTTCCTGAACTCCCTTCGCTCTGTCATTATCCCTCTAGAAGCAAGGGACTCGGCGTGGGAGCCGGGTGATGAGAGGGGGCAGGAATGAGCTACCCTAGGTGGTGCCACATTTCTGAAGGGTCAGGCCCTCAAGGGGGAGAGGTCGGACGTGACCAGAACCCTGTTTAGAAGAGCCCCAGTGGAGCCGATGGGGCTTGTGGTCCCTTCCCAGGCTGGGTGGGCAAGGGATGAGGAGAGGCAGCAAAGCAGAGCTGGTTAGGGTTCACTACAGGCCTCCCAGCCTTGACAGCGTCTCTCTAAATGGCAGTGTGTACAACAGCCGCTCTCGTTGGGACAAGCAGTGGAGCCCGTCCGCTCTGGGCTGCCGGTTGGGGCATTGTCCCCATCGGGTCCCTGTTCCTATTGGACAGATGTGGCTGGCACTAGCCAGCAGAAGGGCCAAGTGCTGAGTGAGCCATGGAACCAGCGCTATCCTCTGACTGGGCCTTGGCAGGGCGGGAACACGCACACAAGCAGGGAAGTGCGGGAGGGAAGCTTGCCTTGGGCTGCAGCCGCTCTGGGGATTGAGGCTGTCAGGCTCCAGAGCCATTCCTCAGGCACGCAGGGGCAGCGAGGGTCTCCGCGCTCCCTGTGTAATGTGGGTGCATCTCTGCCTGACAGGGAGTGCCAAGTGTGGCTGTCTCTGGGTGGCTTCCATGAGAGAGGTGACGACTGGGCCAGCACCCGGAGGATTTATAACTGTCACCTGCTCCTGGACCCCACAGGTGAGAGCATCGGGTACCGCCAGCCACTCCCTGCAGGGAAATCTCCAGGCACTGCCCCTTGTGCCCACTGACCTGGCTCCAAGCCCCTGCCATTGTGGGGTAACTGATGGATGTGAAGGGGTCACCGCTCTGTGCCCGTTGTCACCGTGCCTGGTATGGGTCACAGCTGAGAGGGCCATTCTCAGGTCAGACTGTCAAAAACTAGGCGGGCACTCCCACACTCGGGGTATAGTCTAGAATTAGATTTAATCAGAGCTGCAACAATTGTGTGTTCCTGGATCGCCATACTAGCTTAACCCGGAGCCGCAGACAGTCCCCATAGACATTCCAGTCTATATCATCACCCAGGCAGACTAGACTTCTGTGAGCAAAGGTTATTAAAACAGATCAGTGGATGCTCAGGACCTTAAACCAAAGACTACGCTGTAGCCAATCCTTTAGTAAACTAACTAAAGATTTATGAACTAAGAAAAAGGAATGAGAGTTACTAAAAGGCCAAAGCAAATAAAAGTTGGATCAAACTATGTTGTCCAAAATGATAGCAGGATGTTAAATCTGCTAGTTGTCTATAAGTCTCCCTGTGTTGGGCCAAATAGTTTTGGGAACCTCAGTCCATTTATTTAGAATTCACCAGTCCTGAGATGAGGTAGGAAAGAGGTGGTGAGGGGCCTTTGGTCTCCCTCTTTATATCTTAACGGGAAAAATCCTGGCTGTGTCATGGGTCAGGCAGTTCCATGGTGTACGTGCTTTGCCATCAGTCCTGGATGTGAACTACAAATTTTGCTGGCACCTCCTGTGCACATACAGTCTGAGGGTCTTCGGGGCAACATGCAGAGGCCCCTATTTACAGTTCTTTTGTTATACCTGAAGAGCCAGCCTGTAGGCATTTCTCAGACATATAACATGTTTGAGTTACAAATATATGTCAGAATTTCGTAACTCCCCATACAGTGTTAATACATACATTATAACAGGATAATAATACTCAGCAGCTTACAACTTTTCCAATGATACCTCACAATACATATTTTCAACAAGGTTTATCTCGCTTTTGTAAAAGTGGTGACCACATTAGTGTAGACTTCCACCTTCCCCTTTAGACAGTATCACACCCATTCTGGCAGTTCGGGCCAGGGCATGAACCAGACCCCCAATTCATTCAAGCTGGCAAGGAGGAGGCAGTGTGGGAGTCAGGACTCCTGGGTTCTATCCCCAGCTCTGCAGGAGGAGTGGGGTCCAATGGGTTAGAGCAGTGGTGGGGCTGGGAGTCAGGACTTCTGGGTTCTGTCCCCAACTCTGTTCTTTGCTGTGGTCGTCCCTTCCCCCTGCCTCCAATGGGGACAATGCTGCCGACCCACCTCCTAGAGGCTGTGGAGAGGTGGGGTTGCAAAGTGCTTGGAGTGTAGGCCCTTTGAGTGTCCATGGAGTGTTGGCCCTTTCCCCTAACCCCCTTCTCCTAGTGATTCCCCAGAGGCAGCGGGATGCCCATGCTGCCTGCAGTCTCCTCTCCCCACTCGTCCCCAGGGCACGTCGTGGCCACATACAGGAAGACGCACCTCTGCGATGTAGACCTGGAAGGGCGAGTGTCTATGAAGGAGAGCAACTTCACCAACCCCGGGCCTGAGATTGTGTTGCCTGTCAGCACCCCTGCTGGGAAGGTAGGAGCCCGGTGTGGCGGGGAAGAGGGTCTGGACAGGGCAGGGTGCTCCAAGATCCGAGATTCTCAGGCCAAGCCTTGCGCTGTCGCTCCAGAGCGACGGCACCAACAGTGGGGGTGACTCTGGACTTACCCTAGAGTAGCTGAGGGCAGAGCTGGGCCCTTGCAGTGCTCCTGCACCCACGGAGCCTGAGCCTTATGGCAGCAGTTCCCATGGCTGCCGAGACAGACCCCGCAGAGTCGGCATCTCCCGGGCACGTAGGCAACTCTGGCTAGGGCTGGGCTGGAGACGGGTTTCCCGTCTGGCGAGTATTTTTGAGAATTCAGAAATGTTTCCGTTGGGAGTTGAGGTCTGGCTGGGTCATTGCTCGGGGCCCCTGACCACTGCCTGCCCCAGGTCGGATTGTTCCATGACAAATGAGAGTTCAAAGCACGGGGCGGGGGGAGAAGTACTATTGCAAACTGAGGCTGGGGGAGCCCTGGGCCCAACCAGGAGCCCCAGGAATCTGTGCTGGCTTCTGTGTTTCCCTGCCGGAGCGGGAGGGGAGGCATCTCACAGGGCTGAATATTTGGCTGTCATCACCATATTTGGTACTGGTAACCGCTTCCAGATACAGTGGTGTGTCAGGACCAGTTCCCTTATTTCACTAACGCATGACAGACCCAACCCCTCCCCCAACAGTGACCATGATGCACCCTGGTGTGCAGTGTGGCTTTATGCCTGGCCCCCGGTAACCCCTGGAGCATGTGGACCGGTGGTCCACGTCATTCTGATTCCTGCTAATATCAGTGCAGGTGCCATCCTGGCTCCAGCCCCCTGACTGATCCCTGCCAATGTCTGCTGCAGTGAAATCCTGCAGTAGTGAGTTCTGTGGGTCATCTAGAAGGTAGATTCTTGCAGCTTTCCATGGGTGGCCTGTACAATGCATCTAGCGCCCCTGGGTGTTTGGGCACAGGGTAAATGGGAGCCCAGTTGGCCTTCTCTCCAGTGAAATAGCCCTAGTCACTTGGCTTTTTCTTCCCATGGCTCCCTGCCCTTCTTGTGCCAGGCCTTCCTTGCAATGAGGTGGCCCAAGCTGAATGTGCGAATGCTGTTACACACTGAGCTGATGCACATCATGGAGCTGCCCCGAATCCCTCTCCCAAGAGGGCCAAACCAGTGATCCTAGGGGTGGAGGAGGATGGGGTCTGGGGAGCAGCAGGCACAATCAGGTCCTTGGATCCCTGCCCCCCCCCCCCCACACACACACACACTTTGGTGGCAGCTGTTGTGCAGACAAGACTGGAACTGCCCTGGGGGTGAGTTCTGGGGCCCAGGGCAGATGCGGCCCTTGCTTGGTTGAGGCCCATCACTGGCAGCACCCATGGCGATCTCTGTGTCATTCGCCGGCTCAAAGAACCCCTCTTCCTCCCCCCAGATCGGCCTCGCCATCTGCTATGACCTGCGTTTCCCAGAAATCTCTCTGGCACTAACCCAGGAGGGGGCGGAGATTCTCACCTACCCATCAGCCTTCACGGTGACCACAGGCTCCGCCCACTGGGAGGTGAGTCCAGCTGTGATTGCCTGTTGCATAGTGACATGGACAATGCAGAGCCTGTGTATATGAGACCATGGCTCACTCTGGCGGGTGTAACACACATTGCTGTTAGAACAGCTCCTGACCATTGTAAGAAGGGGGGGGGGTTCCTTTAGAGGTCTCTGTGTTTGTTTGGTACTGGCAGCCCTGAGTTCAATCCCTACCAATGCCCAAGCCTTCCCCTCCCCAGCCATGGCTGCCCCTGCCCCCCATTCCTCTCCCTCCCTGTCCTGGATCCTGCCCCTTTCCCGCTTTTTGTTCTTATTCATCTCTCCATCTTCTGCCCTGCTCAGCCCCCATCCTCACCCACTCCAAATTCCAATCCCTCCTCCTCTTGGGTGCCCCTGCTCTAAGTTCTGATGCCAGATGAGCCCCCAGTACCCGGAGAAACAAGCAGTGAAAGTCCCGGTCAGCTCTGGCATCCCTAGGCTGGAGCATGTAGGAGCTGGGGTGGGGGAGGCTGGAGCATGCTCGGGGGGAGAACTTAGCTGCCAACTCTAAGAAGTCTCTACTGAGCATGTGCAAACTGAGATTTTTCAGAGGCTCATAACTTGGCCAAATTTGGGCCAGTTTTCCGGTTGATGGCAAAAGGCACCTCAGTGGCCCCAAGGCCATTTACCCAGTCCCTGCTCCAAAGCCTCTGGGCACTAGAACCGCTCAATGAAAGCGTGGTGAGAATGTGTTTAACTCGGGCAAAGCCATGTATCCCCTAATCCCGTTCTCAGAAACGGCGGAGCCATTTTAGCCGCAACTTTCCAAAAGCGTTCACCCCGAGGCTGACGCCTGGCGTGGGGAATCAGCCCGAACAGTTCAAGTTTGACAAAGTTGGAAGCCACTGAAAACAGGGTCTCAGAATGGGAAGTGTCAGGCAACCTTAATTATAGGCAGCACTTCCAGCCGAGACTGAGCTGAGACCCACTGGTTGGATGATACGTGGGGAGCCGCCTGCCTTTTTCAGCAGCACAAAACTAGCCCAGGAGCTAGCCGGGAGGGTTGGCTGGTGTGGCGCTTGGAGAGCGTCCGTGGTGAGCTGCCCTGCCCCTTTGTCCGACCCGCTGCAGGCGCTGCTGCGGGCCCGCGCCATCGAGACCCAGTGCTACGTGGTGGCAGCAGCTCAGACCGGGAAGAACCACGAGCGCCGCACCTCCTACGGCCACACCATGGTGGTGGACCCCTGGGGCTGTGTGATTGCCCAGTGCCAGGAGGGGCCAGGCCTGTGCTACGCGGAGATTGACCTGGGCTACCTGCGCCGTATCCGCCAGGAGATGCCCGTCTGCACCCACCGGCGGGCCGACCTCTACGGCAGGGTCACTGTGCTGAAGAAACCCCCGCCTCCCTGAGGGGCTGCCCCCCCCCCCCCAGGAAAATCAGCCACTGCCAGCCAAGCCCTGCAACCCTCCGTAATCAAGAGGCAGAGCAGGGAGCAGAGACCCCTCCTGGTATCACCTCCTCCCCCCCACAGACCCCTCCCGGTATCACCTCCTCCCCCCACCGAGACCCACTGAGCAGGGCTGAGGGCTCTCCTGGTGTGTGCTGGGCAGAGGCGCCCTCTGGGAGACAGCATGGAACTGCAGCATCCCCCAACAATTCCTGCTCGGGCTGGTGCTGCCTTGTCAGGCCCAAGCGAAGATGGAGCATTTCCCAAGGGTGAAGGGAGCAGCTCCAGCCGGGCCCCTGGCTTCTCCAGGCAGCAGCTGATGCGGCAGCTGCCCCGTGGAAGGAGCATTCGCAGTGGGCTCCAGAGCTGAGCAGGTAGAGGGGAGGAAGCGGAAGTGAGGCGGCTGCTGGTAAAACCCTGGCTCAGAGACAGAGCAGTGGAGAGGTTCCTGGGGAGGCTGGGGCTAGCTGGTGTGTCGGACCCGTTCCCCTCTCAGCAAGCGCTCGAGCTGTACCAGTTCCTGAGGCGTCCTGCCTGCTGCCCTTGTCACTACGTCCCTGCCATAGGAACGGCCACGCTGGGTCAGACCAAAGGGCCATCCAGCCCAGGATCCTGTCTTCCAACAGTGGCCAATGCCAGGTGCTCCCAAGGTACTGGTACTGATCTAGTGACCTCTCTCCTGCCATCCATCTCCACTCTCTGACAAACAGAGGCTAGGGACACTATTCCTTACCCATCCTGGCTAATAGCCATTAATGGCCTTAACCTCTGTGAATTTATCCAATTCTCTTTTAAACCCTGTTAGTCCTAGCCTTCACGATCTCCTGAGGCAAGGAGTTCCCCAGGTTGACTGTGCGCTGAGTGAAGAACAACTTCCTTTTAAACCTGCTACCCATTAATTTCATTGGGTGGCCCCTAGTTCTTATATTATGGGAACAAGTAAATAACTTTTTTCCTTATTCGTTTTCTCTACACCACGCATGATTTTATAGACCTCTATCATATCCCCCCTTAGTCTCCTCTTTTAGTGCCCTAAAACTGTCCCATGGTCTGCCTGAGGTGGGGTGGGGCTCAATTTCCCAGCAGAGGGAGAGGGGCTCTCCACCCTGGGCAGTTCCCCTGTGATTTATAACTAGTTAGGAAATTCTAAGAGGGTGAGAAGTCTGTTACTTCTGAGCGTATAGGGTGTGCCTGATTCCCCCCTTTGGCCTCAGCAAGGGATGGATGGGCCTGGGCTACTTCACCTTTAGAGCTCATGGGTCTTGGAGCATGGAACTGCACCCTAGTTATAGCCCCTACAATGCTGCTCTGAGCCCTTGGGCAGGTCCCTTCCCTCTGCCTCAGTTTCCCCATCTGTCTGATGACACATGCTCCACAATCTTTAGGTGAAAAGCTCCATGTTAGTACGAGACCCAAGCGGCTGGGGAAAGGAGAAGTGACACTTAGTAATTGAGGTAATGGGCAGCCCAGAGGGCTGGATGCTGGCCACAACCCTAGGGTGAAGCAGGAGAACTGGATCATCTTCCCACTGTACCTCTCTCCCACAGCTCAGGACCCCCTCCCTGCCATCATCTCCCCTCTGCAGGCAGCCAGTGCCTCCCCAGCCCTGCCCCAGCAAGGTCTCCCATCCTAGCGCTTGATGGTGGCTCTGCCTTGTATCTAAGCTACTGGCCCTCTTGTGTATCACTTTCTCCTCCGATCCCACTGGCCCAATGGAGAGCAAGGCCCAAAGACCCACAGTTTAGCAGGAAACACATTCCCTACCCCGCTAAAGGCACTGTCACTCTAGTGGTTGGTGCACTCAGAGTGAGACTGACTGTTGGGACAGTACTTTTGTGGTGGCCCTTTGGTTTGCATCTATAAACCAGGGCCAAGGCTGGATTTCCTCCCAGGAAGAGCGTGAGGGTTCAGTCCATAATAGAGAATTGTGAGCTGACTAGGGGGCAGTGAGCACACTGTATGGGGGGAGAGGGGCTCCAGCCCTAACCTAGCTGGGTGCATTGGCTGAGCCAGTGCAATTAATCAAGGCCGCACTTACATCATCTGCAGGCTGATCTAAATACAGTGGGGCAGTTCCTGCCAGTTGGAGCTGTCGGTTCAGGCTGGCTGCAGACTCAGGCAGACATCGCAAAATGGTTCTGGAGCTGAACTCAGCAGTGAAGAGGGGCAGTCTTTAGCCATGCAACCGCCAGGGCCCCTGCTACTCGTGGCTTCTTTTCCCAGCACAGCACCTTTACTTGAAGTGCAGATGTGACACAACAACGAGGATCCACCTTTACAAAACCCAAGGGGGGGACCAGCGGCCCAGCCACGGCACTGCTGGTTAACGGCGCTCTGGGGCTTAGCTGAGGTAGGCCAGCTGGGATCTTAAGAACAAGATGAACGTTGCATGGCCCAGGCACATGTGTTTCTGCAGAGCTCAAGGTCACCCTAGTAGGAAATGGAAAACCCCAGGCCAGATGCAACACTTCAAAACAAACCACCCCAAACAGCTGGAAGGGAACGGAACTGACCCAGCATCTGTGCAGTAAGGAAGCAGACGAGATGCAGTAGATGTTTATTTCAAGAAAACTGAAAGCTACATGGGGATTATGACTGTTATATTGGAAGTTTAAAAAATACAGAAGAGTCACAGAAATTACACAGTTTGTGCCAGAATTGTCCTTAAACAGGGAGGTGTGTGCGGGGAGGGAGGGGTCTACACGCTCTCAACTGAGACAGCCTGTGGATAGAAAATGCATCAACACACACACACACACACACACACCAAACAACCCCATCAAGGCATGAGGGTTGCAGCCTGCAGGGCTATCACATGCCAGCTTCGTTGGATGGGGACTCGGTAAGCACAACACCCTCTTTCTTATCCCTCTGCCCATGCCCGGGTAGGGAGGCAACAATCTGTAACAAACATTCCTCCACCCCACGTGCACTGATCTGGCTTTCAACAGTCTTTCAAGGCACAGCTCCTCAGAAGTACGGAGGTGCGTATCTCCTCATGGGAGTTGGGCACCTGCATACCTTTGAGCATCTGAACCGATAGGGAAAACGTCCTACAGCTCAGCAGAGATTTGGGAGGATGGGAAGAAGAAAATCAAATGCAGCAAAAATAACCCTCAGACCCATTTGTTCTCCCTCAACTCAGTGTGGAGTTCTGTGGAGCTGCTTTAGATTTGCAGCTCCTAAATCCTGGGGTGTTTACTTGAGTTACCAGGAAAAGAACTGGGGAGGAAGAGAATTTTCCAATTAAAATGCACTCGTGGCTCCTGGAAGATTGGTACTGAGAATGACCATTTCACTGACAAGCCCACTCAGCCCCAGGCCTACTGTATCCCTGACATGATGTTACCAAGTGGGCACGTAACTGGCTAGGTCTGCCCTCGCACCAAGTTCTGGGGTCAGCAGGAGGGGAGAGAGGAGGGAACAAGCCCAGAGGCCTGTTACCAAAAAGTAACAAAAGTCAGCCCAAAATTAAAAATATGCAGCTAAGCCAGCCACTGGCCCAGGCCACCTGTGGCATCTTGCGTGCAGTGGCAGGAGGTGCTCAGACCGCAGCCTCTAGCGTGTTACTGCTTTAGCCAGCCCCACTCCCCATGCTGGGCGAGGGCTCTCTCTCAGCCATGGGGATTGTAAGGGAGGGGCAGGCAGAGGGCCAGCCCCGAGGTGACAGGTGCTTTGCAAACAGCCAGCTTGCTGGCCCCAGAGCCATCGCTGTAATTAGACAGGGCCTAATGCAGGACAGCACCTCCTAGTCCTGCCTGTTGGGAGCAGCTCCTTCCTCCTGGGATGGACGTCCAGTGCCAGCAACAGACAGACAAGACCCAGCGCCAAGGAGCTGACCGGGAGCAAACCAGGCAGCACCACCCTGATTGGCCCCTCCTCGGATTTTTCCCCACCTCTAGGTTCCCAGCTGGAGTCTGTACATCTGGGCAGGGGGAACAAATTTAACTCTCAAACCTTCCGTTATGGGGTAGGATCAAACAGGAGCCATCTTCTTCCCAGTTGGGAATGGGCCCTGTGCCAAAGTCTTACTCTACCATCTGCCCCACTGCATCCCTCCCTGCTGCACAGCCCACGAGACACAGCCAACCCCACCACCAGAGGAATCTGCACCGCTGCTGGGCCCAGCCTTGTAGCAGCAAGAGGGAGACATTGGGGCATCATCTGTGACATAGGCCAGGGTTGGTCGCTCACCACCCCCAGGCCCTGCTGCTGTGACACCGTCCCTGAACATCCCAAAAGCCTGGCCTTGCCCCCATGCGTTCCCGCCCTGCAGGCCAAGGGAGCGAGGGTGCACATCTCCATGCGCAGAACTCTCCTGCTGGGCCTGCAAGCATCTCTCAGCTCTGGGGGGAGCAGCTGTGGCTGGGTCCGACCAGCTCTATGCATCAGATGGGCAGGGCAGGGAGGCCCTTGCTCAGGTTTCCTCTCTGGGGTCAGAGGCAGATGCTGGCCTGGCAGGGATGGGGGGAGGATTGCAGGGAAGGGGGTAACAAAGGCACAGGCTGGGAGAAGGGAACACTGACTCAACAATTAGCTCTTGCCTCTGGAGGCAGATTAACAGCATGGGCTCCATTCGTGCAGATGTTACTCCTGAAACAAGCCTGCCCAGCCTCGAGCAGATGATGCCACAGGACCCCGCCAGGGGTTGGGACAGCAATCGCCTTAGCTCAGCCTCCCTCCCCACCATCCCACCCTGGAAAGATACCCAAACTGGCTAAAGGGCACCCCTGCTGGATCGCCAGCTGAGTGCGAAGTGGACTGGTGGAAACGGGCTCCCAGCAATGGAAGGCCAATGGCCCAGGCCCCCCCGCACGCTGTTCATTCCACACGCACACAGCTCCCGCTGCACTCGTTCATTTTTATTAAAGTGAATAATCAAGAGTCCCACCTCCCCAGCCCATCTCTGCCCCGCATCCCCCACACGCACAGGGCCCCGGTGCCACATGACAGTTCTGCCTTTTTTAAAAAGAAGACCGTATAAAAGAAAAACCAGCACAAGAGAACCGGGGGGGGGGGGAGGACACGTGAGCACCCAGCGCTCCTGCCGGCAGCTCTCCCTTCCTCCTACCGCTGGGCGGTTCGGCGTCCTCCAGCCAGGCTCCTGGAGCAGAGCGGGGAGTTGCTCTCTGGGTTGCCCCAGGTATCATGGACTCTCGGCTGGGCTGGGGCCACCAGAGAGCTGGCTAAGTGGCAGCATAGCCCTCCTCCCGCTCAGGCGGGTCCTACAGTTACACAGCACTTGGCAGGAGTTTGCTGGGGGGCGGTGGTGCTGGGTGGGGACCAGGGGGGCGGTGGGTATTTAAATGATTTTTCCTTTTAAAAAAAAATGAAACGATTGGCTCCCAAAGAGCCGCCAAGGCCAAGCCTGGGGGAGGGTCAAGGGGCCGTGTGCAGCATCAAGTTCCGCAGGAGTTTCTGGCGCCCAACCTCGTAATCCTCCTCGTCCACGTTGACCAGCAGCTTGATGGCCTCGTGGCCCACGGCTTGCTTGAGCGAGTCCGTGATGAAGACGCCCTTGAGGGCCTCCAGCAAAGAGCCGTTTATGTAGTCGCGCCAGAAGGCGTCGAGGTAGGTGAGCTCTGAGAATTTTATGTCACAGATGATCGAACCCAGGTCCCGGGATTTTAAGATGGTGTTGGCCTGGTTGAAGCGCTCGAATTGCCGCTCCAGGGGATCCTGCTTGTTGGAGAAGACGTTGCCCTGGAGCGCCGTCTCGTGCTGGCAGTACTCGGCTCGCACTCGCAGGCGGATGTCTGGGGGCGGAAGGCAGGGCAGGAGTTAGCGAGTTCACTGCAACCCCCCTCTGCCTGAGGATCCCAGCGCTCTGCCCTGGGGACAGGAGGCTCCGTGCCCCAGGAAGGGGTAGCTGCCCTGTCCAGATGGCACAGAGGGGAGGGATGTAACCAAGGCCAGAGCCAGCAGCAGAGCTCAGACTAGAACCCAAGAGTGGCCAGTAGCTCACCGCTCCTTCCCCATATGTCTGTCACCAAGCATCAGCTGTGGAGAGGTGGCTCTGGTGTTGGGTGGGGAGGTGGGGCCACAGGGTCTGGCTGTTGGACCCAGTCTTGCCTCTCCTGTATGCTGTGTGCCTAGATGTCAGGGCAACCAGCACGAAAACCAAGAGACAAAGAACAGTCACAAATATCAATGACAGCTGGTCTGTTTCCAGCTGACAGGGCAGTGCCTTGTGCCCAGCCCTACGCTTGTTGCCAGCAGCACCCCTGCAGCATCCCCCTGAGCAGGAGCTGCTGGACAAGCCCTTCGCTATAGGCGCCTAACCGGGAGCAGAGCTCTTCCGAAAACCCGGCCCAGAGTGCTCAGATTCCCAGCTCAGTATCACCACCCAGCACACTGCAGAGACGACAGCCTGTCTCCTCCAAAGCCCCAACCCCTTCTGCCGATTTACATCAGCTATGCGATCCAAACCTGTGCCCTGACGTCCGCATGCCCATGCGGATTCCCACGGACAAACCAGGTCAGCATGACTGCCAGCTCTGAGCTCGGGGCGCTGTTTAACTGAGCACAAGTGCACCGAGCGGGCCCTGCTGTCGTCGAGCGCCAGGAGCTTTCCCATCACGGCAGCACCATGGCCAGTTTTTTCTTGTGAATTAAAACATGGGCCAAGCTCTGACAGTGGCTGCTGCCCCCCACTCCCAAGTCCTGTTCGACATATGGAGGAGGAGGATGGGGAAAGCAAGGGGGCAGGGCCAGCTGTAACAGCTCTCAGAGTCATGCAGCGCAGTCTCCAGGCTCGGGTGAGACAGGCACGAATGAGCTGCCTCAGTCTGGCTAATGGAGCCATGTGGCTGGTGGGGGGGGCAGCGAGAAGAGGGATGGGGTCTCTGCCTGCTCCATGTGCTGCAGACATGGTCACCCCTTGCCAGAGGCCAGGACTCCGGGCTGCTCTTGGCTTTGCAGGTAGTAGTGGTGGCTCGAACAGGTTTATCTGTGGGTGGCTAAGAGGCCACACACTCTCCTCACCTGTCAATACCTCCAGGTGGGACTATCCCAACAAGCTCCCATCTAGAGGCACCCGCTGGCCACACAGTCTCCTGTGCTCCAGGAACTCTGCCACCTTCTCCCTTGATTCAGAGAGTGATGGAAGGTGTACATTTAACCTACCCAGTCCCAGGTGGTGTGGGACCCACCTGGCCTAGGGACCACTTCTCCTCCAGGCAGTACTAATGGCTGCAAACAGCAGAGGTCACTCTGCTGACAGTCCCTAGATGGTGATCATGCTTGAAGAGTGGAGATAGCAGAGGGTCCCTGGCTGGGGAACCAGCTCCTTTTGGCAATCTGCCCACCAGTGCCTTCAGAGCCCCAGGCTGGACTCATTGCTGGGAGGTGGGGGTGGTATTAATGCTGTCTCATGAGGGCCGTTTAAAAATCACGTGCCCAGAGGCCACAGCACCAGTGAACTGGAAGTCAGACCAACCAGTCAATCTCACTCATCGCAGAAGATCGCTCTCCGCGCAGGCAATAGAGGAGAAGGCCATTCAGGGTCATCTGGAGGAGATCAAAGGAGCTGACTGGTTTTTGCACCTCACTTTCAATGGGAAAGTTTGGAATTAAGTCCTGCCGTCACAACTGAAGGCAGCCTTTCCAAGCCCCTCGAGAAGAGCTGAAGCGACAGAGCTCATGTCCAGGAGCCCCTCCCAACTGACTGATCTCCAAGGAGACTGTGTCATCCCCACGACGAAGCAGAGTAAAGAACGGGGTCTACTGATGCCAAGTCTTCCAAACTTGACCATGCTGTAAGTACCCAACTCCCATCACACAACGTTTAGCATCTCAATGAAGACCTCAACTGCTTCTCAACCCCTTGGAGAGATTCCTCATTCACACCGGGACTAAAAAACCCTTTTGTGGGGGCTGGGATTATACAAACGTTGATTTCTTGCACAGGCAGAGATTCACCACCTGAAACTGGAGGTTCACCATCTCTATTGTATTCCAGTAGTTTCTACAGGCTCCAAGCCAGACCAGGACCCCATTGTGGGTACGCTGGGTAAAAGGGATATAACAACAAGCAGAATTAAGAGTGACAGTTGGCAAGTGTCATGTTAGTCCCAATGTATTATTTAAAAAATAATCTAGCCCTTGTGACAGCTAGAGACTCCTAGAAAGGGGGGGCTGGAGGGGAACTCCAAAGGTCATTTGGGCCCTCCCCGCACAATGCGGCAGGGTCAAGTAAAGGAGACCAGCCCTGTCAGGTGTTTGTGTAACCGGTTTTTAAAAACCTCCAAGGACAGAAGGTTTAAAAACCTCAAGCTGCTGATCAACGTAACTGCTCCTCCTATTATGTCCAATACCCTTAAGGTGCCTGTGACCTCTAGGGTTTGAATTGTGAGCATCTGCACAACAGATTCTTTCTGGTCTAGGAATTGCATTGAAATATTTAGTTTTACTAAACTCACTCTTTGGATTTTCTCTTTCTCCTCCTAAACTGGCGTGCGCAGGGGGCAATAGTCAGAGGTTTCATTCCCCCCTTGCCCTCCCGCCAAACTAGGCTGAGGATCCAGCTGCACACACAAAATGGGCTTGGGTTGTTTAAATCAGACTATTGATATTTTCCTTAATTTCTTCTAATGCAGCCTTTGGAAGACAGGTGCCAAACTATCAAGCTCAGGTACAAGATCAGCCAGCCCCACCCTTCACACAAGGAGGGGAATAAAATTTAACTCCCTAGTCCGAGAAAAGACCCCAACCCTCTCTCCCGCCCCCAAGCTACTCCCCTCTGCCCCATCAACAAAATCAGAATACAAAGCTTTTGACCAGATCCAGGCTGGGCTAGATCCCAATTTGTGGCTAACCTTGTAACAGGCTGAGCCAGAACACCAGATCTGAGGCAAAGCAGAATTTTGTCAGGCTGTTCTGATGCTGGTGGATGAAAATACAGGCATCAAAATGCTCCAAAAATGTTTAGAGACCTCAGCACGGTGTTCAATTTGGCCACCAACCCCCCCCCCCCCCCATCCCCCCGGAACTTAGTATTAATTTATATTATCTGCAAAGTAAAAATAATAGAACTCTGCTTCCAAACCTGCCCCACCATTGAGCCTTGCTGGGAGAGTTGGGTAAAGTGGGGATGCAGATCTTTCTACCAGCCAGGCAAGATGACCATATAAAATAAAACCTGTCCCTGGAAGGAGGAAGAATAAGCTTCTCCCAGCACCCCAGTGCGTAACCCACAAACCCACCACAGCCACAGACAGGCATAAGAACAGAAAGATGGCCACAGTGGGTTCCATCTAGCCCAGTGTCCTGTCTTGGACAGTGGCCAGTGTTAGATGCTTCTGACAGTTGGAGGTTTAGGGACACCTGGATATGGGGTTGTGTCCCTGACCATCTGGGGTATTAGCCATTAATGGACCTATCCTCCAGGAACTTAGGCTCCTCACAAGTTCTTACCACAAGTCTGTTTCTCTTTAGGATCCGGTGTCATTGACTTCCTCCTCTTATGCTGGCTACTGAGGAGGGCTCTCCCACGGCCAGGCCTCTTGGTACAGATTGGAGGTCCAGTGGAGGAGCGGCAGACCACAGGGTGATGGGGAGGCACTAATGCAGAGAAAGAGGAGCCAGGGATTAGAAAGGGAAGCGTAGATAGAGCCCAGGATCACATCACTTCTCCAAGGGAGAACAATATCACACCAAGTAAAGACAGATGAAGCCTCTCGGCTCCCATGTATTCCTTCCCCAGCCATGGCAGAGCACTTGCTGTGGGAAGTTTTGTAGGTCTCCAGTGATGGGGACTGCAGCCTCTCCTTTGGGAAGGTGGTCAACATCCCATCAGTCTGGAAGTTCCTTACAGTAGGGAGGCTGTTCAGTTAGCCCTGACCCCTGCAGCAGTCTAGAGAATTCCTCACCCTCCTTGCTGTGTACAGCCTCTAAAGATCAGCAGACGAAAGCCCCAGCCTTGCCCAGTGCTTTCACTCCATCTCCTCCTTGTCGCCCCCATCCAGCCAAACCCTCCACCTCCCAGATGATTTTGCTGCTCTTCTCTTAACTCTCCCCAGTCTCTCTCCGTCTTTCTGGAAACACGGAACCAATACCCAAAGACAGAGAGAACTGAGCCAGAGAGACGGATGGTCACTTTCTTGCTTAGTGATACCTGTGCTCATGCTGCCCAAAGTTGCACTCATCTTTTTTGGTCAAATATTACAATGCAAACACTAGTCTAATTTACTGTCCACGATCACTTTTAACCACAACTTAAATGCAGCTGCCTCTTGGGTGGGGCATGGTAGCGGTTTAACAGCTCACAACACTGCTCACCAGAGCTTTCTTCACTTCTGCTCCCATGCTATCCCCAATTCAAACTACAGGGAGGAATTTAACGAAGCAGAACATATGGCATTTGGCCAGGTTAACACTCCAGCTCTTACCAACAGTGCTAGAACATATTTAATGGCCCCATATGGTCAGGACTGCAGTTTGGCACCTCATGCAAAAGAAACTCCTCCAGCAGCACAGTGCTTCTCAGAGCATGTTGGGGCGCATGACCCACTGAGGGAAAAGCACCCCTTCTGAACATTTAACATCACTCTCCCAAGCCTGCAGAGTCTGCAAGCTCCCACAAGATCACAGCACAGGCTGGGATGGCTGCAGAGGCAGACATTAGCAAGCACAAAGGGACAAGAAAAATAATTCTGGCTCATCGAGGGCAGCGGCACATACCACAGCAACCTGCTGCTCTGGAACAAAATGACACAGGATTTCAGAGACAGGCCTGGGTGTCTGAGGCTAAGACTTTGCTCACTGAATTCAATGCATGGCTGTTATTGCAGTTAACCCCCCACTGAGGTGTTTGGGTGGAGTATGCTCGGAGAGTTACCTTTGAAAATTTCAGCCCTAGAGCTTAAAGTTAGACACCTGCCAAGCAACATTTGATAATTTTGACATAAGCCTCCAGAAGGAAATGACGCTCCTTAAATTCAGTTTTACGCCTGCTGGGATTTCATTCATCACCGAGAGCCTTTTAATCTGTTTCAATACCATTTCTGCACTGATTCAATGAATGAGAGCCTTTAGTTGTGTTCGCAAAAAGAAAAGGAGGACTAGTGGCACCTTAGAGACGAACCAATTTATTTGAGCATGAGCTTTCGTGAGCTACAGCTCACTTACCGGCTTGAAGTGTCACAAGCACCCTCTAGTGGCAGGCTCCAGTACATCAGCAAGCAAGTGCATTTTGGATGCAGCCTATCTACAAGGAGTTGCTTTATTGTTCCTATGCAGGGTTAGAGCATATTTTGGCCTAAAATCTATAGTCAGAGGAATATAACCCTCCGGAACCCAAGGAGCGCTTGTATGTGTGTTCTTTTTGAAAGTGTCTATGTAAAAACACTGCTACCTCATTCCCTGTGTGTGTCAGAGTTATATTGCTAATTTTAAGCAACTATAGCAAAGTACAATAGCAAGGATGGTTTTGCCCTTAATGTTCATTTAATCAAAACCCAAAGAATTAGAATTCATACTCTGGCTCATCCTTTGGGATTGCTGAGCACGGCCAAATGCAGAATCATAATTGCTGGACAAGGTCAGAAGCAGCAGCAGCTTGATTTTCAGATTCCAAGAGGAGTTTGGAATACCAGCAGTTAGAAGTTTTTCCCCCCTCCCTAACTTAATAGGGCACATTTGGTCTGGAATCACAGAGGAGCGACATGGAGTCACACTGGGTCCTCTTCGGAGGGTAACAATATATTTTGATTTTAGAAGTAGAGATTTGGTCATAATATTTTTCCACCCTAAACTGTGTTGGGATACACAGGACTATGTCTGAGCAGAAGTCTTTCACAGTGTAGTGGGTGCCTCCAACAGCCCGCTGAAGAAAACACTCCGTTTGCCATGGAAAGAACCTCACTTTAAAAGTTTGTGAACCTTTTCCATTGAGCGTGTTCTACAAGCTGAAAAGTTAACTCTCACCCTGAACAACGCTTGAAATCACAGCTGTGAGCTGGACTTGTTACAAGTGACATTTCTGAGCCAGAAATTACAGGCTTGAACTTTTCCAGGAAAAAAATGAGCATTTGGGACAACCTGGGACCACAGTTTGGGAGCCCAGGACTCCAGCTTGAGCTGTAGCTCACGAAAGCTCATGCTCAAATAAATTGGTTAGTCTCTAAGGTGCCACAAGTACTCCTTTTCTTTTTGCTGCTAAGTAGTACTTTCCCTTTCTAGGGCCTTCATTGGAAGGTCTCAGTTGGCTTTACAAACATTTATAAATTCATAGATTTTAAACCCAAAAGGGACAGTTACGATCGCCTAATCCAACCTCTGCATAACACAGGCCAGAGAATTTCCCTCAGCAATTCCTGCCCAAAACTTCTGGTTCAACTAGAGCACCCCTAAACAGGGTGTAATATGCATCAGTTTCAATATGTTAAGAGTTTAGTGCCATGGAAGTAAAGGGATGCAGACAAGGAGATCAAAGGGGAAAAAGGACAGTTCCAATAATCCACATTTAACCTACAACACAGTGATGCATAAGTCTCAGGAGATCCCAGCTGCTTACGACCAAGGATTCCAGTGAAACCCTGGTATGAGGCAGCAGTACCAAACTCTGACCTGATTTGTGGGGGGGGGCGAGACCATGCTCTGCGTCGCTGTGAGCTCGGGGCATCACGTAACGAATGGACGTCTCTTCTAGGTACTTGTCCACAAGGTCTGGGCACACTGGAAAAGAGGAAAATGTATTTTTTAAAAGGAGGGCAGAGGAGACCATTGCTGATCTAGCAGACACTAACATGAAGGCAGAGGGAACTGTTCAAAATCAGGGTGTGAGAAATTTGACATCTACCTGCCAGAGGCCAACATGAAAGATTTTTCAGGGTGAAGGAAGGGTTCACACAAAGGAGGTCCAGGGGCAAGAGCTCCAATGCAGAGACTGCCTTCCCAAGAATGAAATTTATCATCATTCTCGTCACTTTCACGGTTGCCCACTGGGTTCTGAAGAGCAGCAAGGGAACTGTTGTCAGTTTCACTTTGCTGCTTGAGAAATCTATAAGCAGCAGTTGAGGCGGTGGACCTGCGAGCAGTCTCAGGAACATGGCTCTGCGCTCATTCACATTTTGAATGGTTTTCTTCCCAACCGTAAAGGTTAGATTTTTTTTTTTTTAATTAAACCTTAGATTCTAAAAAAGTTGATTGCTTGGATCCCAGGGACAAGAAGATTTTTCTAGCCCTAACAGTGATGATCTAATATTTATTCCCAAACTTAATTAAGTTTGCAAAATGATAGACATAACCTAACAAAAAGCGGCACAACCCATTTTCAAATTAAACAGCACATCAAGAACTGCAGCGTGTAGAACTATTAATTGTTCTTTAAGATCCCTTTGGCTAGACATATTTTAAAACAAAATACTCAAAACGTGAGAGCATACCAATGACTTTATAAAACAGAACTTACAGAAACACTTCTATTTGGATTTACTACCACTATTACTTACATCATCTCAACTCATTAGAAGCTGGAGGGCCTAATGATTGGTCAGACTTAACTGGGCGTTACATTTCACACACGCATACACACAACCCTTTGTTAGAAAGTTAACAACCGTAACCAGGCAATGCAGTGTCTGAGTAAAAGCAGGATCGTAAGGTATGCAGATGACCTAGCCCTGTGCAAGGCTTCAACCAGTGACGCACTCAAACTCAGACTTTAAGGTCAGAAGGGACCATCGTGATCATCTAGTCTGTTCTCCTGCACATCGCAGACCACAAACCTCACCCACTCATGAAATAGACCCCTAACCTCTGACTGAGTGACTGAAGTCCTCAAATCATGGTTTAAGACTTCAAGTTACACAGAATCCACCATTTACATTAGTTTAAACCCACAAGTGACCTGTGCCCCATGCTGCAGAGGAAGGCAACCCCCCACACCCCACCCCCGGGTCTTGGCAAATCTGACCTGGGGGAAAATTCCTCCCTGATCCCAAACATGGCGATCAGTTAGACCCTGAGCATGTGGGCAAGACCTCCAAGGCAGATACCTGGGAAAGAATTCTCTGTAGTAACTCAGAGTGTCCCATTTCTGGCCATTGGGGATTTTTGCAACTGGCAGTCACTGATGAGCCGCGTGTCATCGTAGGCAGTTCCATTACACCATCCCCTCCATAAACTTATCAAGTTCAATCTTGAAGCCAGTTAGGTTTTTTGTCCCCCACTGCTCCCCTTGGAAGGCTGTTTCAGAACTTCACTCCTTGGATCCTAATTTTGAGCTAAACTTGTTGATGATCAGTTTATAGTCACTTGTTCTTGTGTCCACACTGGTGCTTACCTTACATAACTCCCTCTTCCTCCCTGGTATTCATCCTGCTGATGCATTTAGAGAGAGCAATCACATCTCCCCTCAGCCTTCTTTTGGTTAGGCTAAACAAGTCAAGCTCTTTGAGTCTCCTCTCATAAGGTAGGTTTTCCATTCCTTGCATCATCCTAGCAGCCCTTCTCTGCCCCGTTCCAGTTTCAATTCATCCTTCTTAAACACAGGAGACTAGAATTGCACAGAGTATTCCAGATGAGGTCTCGCCAGCGCCTTGTATAACATTAACATTCCCTGTCTCTATTGGTTTCAGAGGAACAGCCGTGTTAGTCTGTATTCGCAAAAAGAAAAGGAGTACTTGTGGCACCTTAGAGACTAACCAATTTATTTGAGCATGAGCTTTCGTGAGCCACAGCTCACTTCATCAGATCTGATGAAGTGAGCTGTGGCTCACGAAAGCTCATGCTCAAATAAATTGGTTAGTCTCTAAGGTGCCACAAGTACTCCTTTTCTTTTTGTCTCTATTGGAAATACCTCACCCGATGCATCCTAGGACTGCATTAGCCTTTTTTCACAGCTGCATCACACTGATGGCTCATAATCATCCTGTGATCAACCAATACACCCAGGTCCTTCTCCTCCTCTGTTGCTTCCAACTGATAAATCCCCAGCTTATAGCAAAAATTCTTGTTGTTAGTCCCTAAGTGCATGACCTCACACTTGGCACTATTAAATTTCATCCCATTTCTATTACTCCAGTTTACAAGGTCACCCAGATCTTCTTGTACAATAATCCAGTCCTCCTCCACATTGGCCATACCTCCCAACTTTGTGTGTCATCCACAAATTTTATTAGCGCACACCCACTTTTTGTGCCAAGGTCAGTAATAAAAATGTTAAATAAGATAGGTCCCAAGACCGATCCCTGAGGAACTCCACTAGTAACCTTCCACCAGCTTGACAGTTCACTTTTCAGTATGACACACTATAGTCATCCCTTTAACAAGTTCCTTATCCACCTTTCCATGCTCATACTAATCACCATCTTCTCCAAATTAAACTAATAATTTCCCACATGGAACTGTATGAAATGCCTCACTGAAATCCAAATAGATTAGATCTACTACATTTTTTTTTTTTTTTATTAAGACAAAGGAAAACACACTTAACTTCTCAAAGGAAGAGATCAGGTTGTTCTAGCACAATCTACCTTCTGTAAAACCATGTTGTATTTTATCCCAATTACTGTTCACATCCATGTCCTTAACTACTTTCTCTTTCAAAATTTGTTCCAAGACCCTCCATACAATTGAGGTCAAACTGACAGGCCTGTAGTTTCTGGTCCTGCTTTGAGCAGGGAGTTGGACTAGATGACCTCCTGAGGTCCCTTCCAACCCTGATATTCTATGATCACTTTCCCCCCCCTTCTTGAAAATAGGGACTATATTAGCAATTCTCCAGTCATAGGGTATGCCCCCCGAGTTTACAGATTCATTAAAAATCCTTGCTATTGGGCTTGCAGTTTCATGTGCCAGTTCCTTTAATATTCTTGGATGGAGATTATCCAGGCCCCCCCATTTAGTCCCATTAAGATGTTTGAGTTTGACTTCCACCTCGGATATGGTAATTTCTAGCTCCATATCCTTGTTGCCATTAGCCACCCTGCCACTACCCCTAAGCTCTTAATTAGCCTCATTAAAAACAGAGGCAACATATTTGTTTAGATGTTGGGTCATGCCTAGATTATCTTTAATCTCCACCCCATCATCAGTGCTTAGTGGTCCCACTTCTTCCTGTGTTTTCTTATTTATATGGCTACAAAACCTTTAACTATTGGTTTTGATTCAAGGTCCAACTCTGCTTGGCTTTTGGCAGTTCTCCCTTTATCTCTATACTTTCTGACTCCAAGAGACAGCCTACAAGAAATGGAAGATGGGAGGAACCAGCGAGGAAAGCTTTCTGTTTTCTCTACGGCCATACCACCCTGAACATGCATGATCTCATCTGATCTCGGAAGCTAAGCAGGGTCGGGCCTGGTTAGTACTTGGATGGGAGACCTCCTGGGAATACTGGGTGCTGTAGGCTTTTTTTGAAGGGGAGGGATAGCTCAGTGGTTTGAGCATTGGCTTGCTAAACCCACAGTTGTGAGTTCAATCCTTGAGGGGGCCATTTAGGGATCTGGCACAAAAATTGGGGATTGGTCCTGCTTTGAGCAGGGGGTTGGACTAGATGATCTCCTGAGGTCCATTCCAACCCTGATACTCTATGATTAATAACCTGTCAGATTCTTGCTCATCCAACTTGGTCTGCAACCCTTCCCTATGAATTTTTTCCCCTTGCTTGGGATCCAGACTTTAGATAGCTTCTGCAACTTTGACAAAGTAACGCCAAGCCTCCTCCACATTGAGATCCCCGAGTTCTTCAATCCAGTCCACTTCCTCACTAATTAATTTAAATTAGCTCTTTTGAAATCAAGGACCCTTGTTTTAGATTTATTTTTGTGTACCCTTCCCTTTAGTTTAAGCTGAATTAACTCATGATCACTCTAACCAAGGTCGTCCTCTACAATCAGTTCTTCTAGGAGGTCCTCACTACTCACCAATACCAAATCTAAAATGGCATCACCTCTCGTTTGTTCAACAAATATTTGGTGAACAAATCTGTGAGCTATCACGTCCAGGAAAATCTGGGCCCTACTATTATTAGTAACATTTGTCCTCCAATCTATAGCTGGGAAGTTAGTCTCACATAATCACACAATTCCCCATAGTATTTATTTCAGTATCAACATTAAAGAGGTCTCTATCCAGATCCAAATTGGATCCTGGTGGTCTGTAACACACCCCAACCACTGTATCAGGGGAACCTCTAGACGTTTTCTTCCCCAAAGTGGTTTTGGCCCAAACAGACTGCCTTATCCATTCCATCACTTCTCATTTCTTTACAGTCTACCTCAACATTAACATACAGTGCTACTCCACCATCTTTGCCTTTATTTCTGTCTTTCCGGAACAGCATACACTCTTCAATACCTGTATTCCAGTCATGACTACTATTCTACCATGTCTCTCTTATCCCTATAAATCTGGTTTCACTTCCTGCACCAGTAGTTCTAATTTCTCCATTTTGTTACCAGGCTCCTTGCATTGGTTTACAAACATCTTAGCGGTTGCTGCTTGGTTTCGCCCAAATTCCTCGCCTAATTGGGTACAGTCATTCCACTGCCAGTATCGCCTATCTATCCTTCCTCTTAATGTCCATTCTCCTACCCACGGCTGTTCCTTTCCTTCATTAATATATCTTCTCTTACTTGATTTTCCTCCCTCTCAATGTTAAAATCAGGCGTGGAGATTACATGAGCATCTCCCAGCAGTTTTCTCTGAGTTCCTAGTTTAAAGCTCTTTTAATG